ATATTATACCTCCTACCATCTCCTTGGCCATCCTAACTTCTCTTGGAGCGTCGCATCCTCTCCTCCTCCGCCTGCATCATGATCTCCATATGGGCCGCAGCATCCACAAGGCGCCCACACTCCCAGGCCATAGACCCCCCTACTCTCATCTTGAGCCCGTGCCTTAACTTCTTCTCAAATTCCAAACATCGGCGTTCTTCAGACGCCACAAGCTCAGGTGCAAACCTGGATAAACTGGTAAAAGTGGCCTCAAACTCGACCACTGGCATACACAGCTGCTTAAGTTGACAAAACTGATCCCTCAGCTTCTCCCTAATAGCTGGAGATAAGAACTTCTCCTGGAAAGCATCTACAAAGCCCTCAACAAGCTCCACACTTTTTACAAAGGCCCAAGGATAAAAGATCACTCTTACTAGATCAAACCCTAAAGAGAAGTTGGAGTTTTAGAGTGAGGTGCTCTCCAATGGAGGTTTTGAAAAGTAAGAGAGAGAAAAGGAGTTGAAAAAGTGATCCACAAAGTCAAACTTCGGACTAATATACACGTCGCCCCGCTCGAGCGTGGAACTTCCCGCTCGAGCGTCAGACACAGACTCACTCTCGAGCGTCAAAAGCGCCGCTAGAGCGCCGGATGCACACTTCCAGAAGTTTTACAAACCATGGTTCCCGCTTGAGCGTTAGACTCTCCGCTCGAGCCGAGGAACAAAATCAAAGGGCCCGCTCGAGCATCAAAACTCCCGCTCGAGCGTACGACGACTTGCAGAGCAAAAATGCCGAGAGATGAAAAATCACGCTCGAGCGTCAAAACGCCCACTCGAGTGGAGAAACAAAGACGAAGGGCCCGCTCAAGTGTGAGGGCAAAAATCTGGGCATCAACTCTAGGTTTCTAAACACAACCAACCTGTTTCAAACCCGCCCAACATACCTCAAGACTCAAATACAAAGAGTAAATGATGAAAATGGGAATAAGACAACAACATAACCACGGAACCAAGTCCGGAATACAATAAACAAAGGAAGGGAAAACCGGGATCGCTATAGAAACCAAGCCAAAAGAGGATGCCAATCAAGGGAAGACACAAGTTCAAGTATTGTAAAGTGATGATGATTTCGAAGAAGAATCAAGCCACAACAAGCCATTCGCCATTTCATGCCGCAAAACAAACAAGGTTTGGCATAGCCTATCCAAAAAAGACCAAGACCAAATTCAACTCATCAACAACACACAATCAAGTGCTTGTGTCTGGTCTGGCAGTGAAGATGAAAACTGCGTATACTTTTCAGATATATGCAGATTGACCAACAGGGAACCCTTATATGGGAATGTAGGTCTCCAACTGCACAATTTTACAGTTTCTGTTCATATTCAATAACATATTCCACAAACCTAACACATTCTCGTATATAACATGTTTCAGGTCATTGATGCCTTCTCAGAAAAGCAATTGGCACTCCAACCAACCATTGAAGAATTTGAGAAAAACGATCTAGTCTTTGCAAGCAATCCATACGCAGGAAGATCTTACGTTTTCTCAACACTTATCAATGTAAGCAAAACTTAACATACCTTACAACTGCAAAATTTTCTACTTTATCAACATGTATTACTACATAGTTTTATGACATATTTCAAACATATATATGACTTACAGACTCCACTACAAAACCAAGATCAAGCACTGAGAGAAAAAATGATGGACAACCATTTTCCAGAAGCAATGAAAAACAGATATATCCATTTCCTAATCAACCACGACAACCATTGGACAATTGTGGTCTTTGACAATGCTGATGGGATATGGAGGCACTATGACTCTTTGAGGCCAGCAAAAGATTGCTACAACAAGCACTTTGAAATTGCAAAGGAAATTATAAGTTAAATAAAATTTTCTACTTAGTTTCATTCCTTTCAAAACATCTTAGCCCATCACTATAACTAACAAAAATACCAACTAACTATTTTGTAGCAACAACATCAACTGAGACGGAATAAAGCATTATTCAGCAATCAAGGAAACATGTTATTATTTCAAGAGTGCGAGACAGTAATTGCATCAATTGAGGAATGCCCACAACAAACCCCACACTCGTAAGATACAAACTCAATAACTAATGTTCCAATATACTAAATTTTGCAATTTTACCTAACTAATTAACTTCATCTAAAAATTTGCAAGAATGATTGTGCAATCGCCGTCTGCAATGTTATCAACCAATATATCAACTGGCAACTTATGCAGAAATCACTTTGACCAACTGAGTGGGTCAAATTTCGAGTAGAAATCATCAGTCAATTCCTCAATGATAAGAACCGATCTTGGAAACTCGAGCATTACCAAATGTTGACAAAACATACCAAACCATAGAAACAATGAACAAACTTCTTGACAATACAAATACTCAAATGAACATATTTTTATACTTTTTTTTTCTACATGTGACAAGTACTTTTTATGCTTTTGGGAATTAATCTTCTTGTGGTTATCATGGTGAGAATGATTGTTGTCATTGATGTTGTTGTTGCTTTTCTTCTTGTTATTATTGTTGTTGTTCTTCTTCTTCTTATGTTTATTATTCTTGTTTGTGTTCTTCTACTTATTATTGTCGTCACATTTGTGGTTGCATATATTTTCATACAGGAAATGTTGTTTCTAATAATTCTTCAAACTGCAAAAATATGCAGTTTCATCAGGTTGTTTTTAATAATTCGTAAAATTGCAAAATTATGCATTTTCATCAGGTTGTTTCTCATAATTCTTAAAATTGAAAAATTATGCAGTTTCATTACTCAAACAAAAATTATGCTATACAATTATACATCCAATTTCATGACTCAACAAATAGATGAACTGCATTTCAAAATTGAAAATAAAATTGCAAAATTTTACAGTTTTGTCACTACGAAATATGAAATAAATATATCATGTAGTAAAACTGCATTTCAAGATTATACAGTTGCAATAAGAAATTTTCAACAACCTTCTCAGCATTCCACAAAAATAAAACCAACCAAATCTTCAAAACAAAACAAAACAGTTACAAAACAACTTCAATAACTAAAGAACACATCAAAAAAGAAAAAAGAATGCAACCAACTTTATTCATTACTTCCATAATACCAAGTATCACATTTTATTATCATAATTCCTCAACTTCAAATACAAATCCAAAATAATAGACTACGGCCTCAAATAGAAGCCTTGCACGTCTTCTTATTGTGATTCCCATATTTCAAGCACCTCCCACACTTGATTTGCTTCACATTCTCACCCTTAGAAGGTATCATCTTCTTCTTGTTCCGCCCGGGCTGCTTCTTCGTTATAGGAGGTTTGATAATCGAATTACCGACACCATCAAAGTCAAATCTCTCACTTGAAGGCACTAGATAAACAGATTCCTTGTATGACTCTCTAAAATAATCCACATGAAAAAAAGGATCAATGAAATCGTACACATCTCTAGCACCACTACACAAAGCATGCACAACATGACAACAAGGAAAACTATTCAATTGCCATTCATGGCAAGAACAAGTCCTTCTACCAATATCAACATAAAAAGAAATAGAAGAATGAACCTCAAGCATAGTATCACTAGCAACAATCACATCCCAAGACTTAGTTAGCTTCAAAGAGTCCACCAACTTCTTTTCCATAACTGGACACAATTTGGTAGTTCATCTTTTAAATTTAGCTCTTCTATTAGACAATTGAGTCATGATTTGAACCCTAATCATATCAACCATATAAGTAATAGGCAACTCACGAGCCCCACCAATCCAATTATTGTAAGACTCGGCAGCATTAGATGACATCTCACCATATCGTTTCCCTCTAAAAGATGCATTGGCCCACTTATCATTTTGCAACCATCCAACATACTATCAACTCTACCATTCCTAGCAATACGCCTCAATTTCTCCATATAATGTTGGAAAGAAGCAACAGTTGGCGCATAAGCACATTTAACTAATATTTTCATCAAAGTCAGCTTATAGTTAGTACGAAGTCCCACCAATTTGTCAATCAAATTTCGCTTCAAATAGTTCAAGCAATATGCATGATGTGCATTGGAAAAATCACTGAAAGAGCATCTAGCAATCCATGTTGACAGTCAGACACAAAGGTCAATCTCTGGCCTAAACTAACAGCCTTTAACAACTGACTTAAAAACCACATCCAGTTATCTTGATTTTCAGCGTCAACAATCGCAAAAGCCAAAAATTAACAGGTCTGAAAACGAAATAACATGAAACTGTAAAAATTAGCAGACTCACAATACAATAACAGAAACCAAAATCCACCAACTACCAAAACACACAGACAAACCAAAGCTATACTAACTGCAAATAAATACATACCTTGATTACCATCCTTTGATGTTGCTGCAAGAAAATGCCCCTTGTAACGCTCCTTGAAAAATGTACCATCAACAAACAACAATAGATGACAAAATTAAAAGCCATTCAAACATCCATGAAATGCCACAAACAACCTTCGAAAACACTCACTACTTTCATCCACATCTAATTCAAACACACTTCCAGGATTCATTATCATACCCATCTCAAGGTACCATCGAAGTTGGTCAAAAGAAGTTACAAAATCACCAAACAATCCACCTCTTGTCTTATCAACCCATTTATACCATATTGCTTCTTCAATTTTTTTTTAACTTCAATAGGACGAGTCAACGAATTATCACTAATATCATTATGCACAATATCAGATACAAGTCTAGAACCAACCATTTTGCTACAAGATCTATGAGCAACAACCCCACAAGTATGCACATTATCCAACTTCATAATAAAAAAAAATACTGGAATTCATCAACACCTTTCCATGTACAAACCATTTACAACTCGTAGACTACTTCATCATACATTCAGCAGTTACTCTTGTTGTATCGTTCTTCAAATAATTCGTTGCAAAACCACACTCAACTAAATACTTAGCCAATAAAATGCGGAACGCCGGCACTCCACTTTCAAATTCTTGACCAACACTGTGTATAATCCTCTTCCAACTAAAAAACAAAACTCTCTCTAGTTCTGGATAAAAACTAGGCAACAAACCACCAAAATCATCACAATCGTTAACCAAAGAACTCTCACAAATTACAGAATCAATTCTAGAAGAATTATCATCAACCTCCACAATTCTTCTATCACCCACAACAACACCAACAACATGAGAACCACTACAACCTACAATTGACATATTCTCCAAATCATCATCACATTCAACAATACAATTAGAATATCTAGGAATAGAGAAAAACAAACAAAAGTTACTAACACTCAACTCCTTGAACTTCGCAGATATTTTCTCAACAACTTCATGATAACTACATCCCTCACTAATCTTAATAGCAGCACAAGAATTACTGTATTTGCACATTAATATGAAATACCCCTCCATACTACAAAATCATAAACCAGCAAACAATTGTTCATAGATTCCAAACTGCAAAATTATACAGTTACAACATATCAGTATCAACACTTCACAATTCACAATTTCAAACTGCAAAATTAGACAGTTACAACATATCAGTATCAAAACTTCAGAATTCACAATTCCAAACTACAACTTCAAAACACATTACACTATACAACAAACAAAATCAACAAAATCAAAATCGTTACACTATATTACATACAAAAATCACAAAATAAGCATCAAACAGACAAAGTTTATCACAAAATAAAGAACTATAACAACATTGCCAAACACAAACCAGATATCACGCAAATTTTCTTATCTATATATATACATACATATATGTATCGACAGATAGAGACAAAGTGAGACACAGACACACACAGACACACACACACACACACACACACACACACACGCACACACACAGAGTATACATAGAGATCGCCTATACATAGAGATTCAGATCGCACAACCAGATCCACCTCACAGCACAACGAGATTGACCTCACAACACAAAGAGATTGGCATAACGGAGAAAGATCGAGATCGTAGAGGCGAATATTTGATTTTTCACATATATATATCTCAAATCAAAGGGTAATACAGTCATTTAAAAAATAAGAAAATAAAAAACGGGACCTCCGGGTACAAAACTTAAAAAACTGTGAACCTATTAGTCTATTAAAAATATAGTGGGATTAGAAGGGAAATAGATCTCCTACATGGGATTACATAGTAATTTTCCCATATATATATATATATATATTTGCTAACCCTTAATGAAAAAGATTTTAAAGCTCAATAACGGCACAATTGTCGATTGGAGCTCCCTAATATTTAGGTTCTATTTGTAAAATATTTTTTTTGTAAATTTTACAAAGAAAAAAATATTTTTATTTTTAGTTTTCAACTTTTGGTTGATATTTGAAACAAAAATATTTTATTGCCTAAAAAAGAAATTTTGATTCAATAAAGTGTCATTTATGACTTTTTAGTGAGTTGAGTATTTATTTAAAAATGCTAAATATGTTGAAAAGGTAGTGAGTGAAAGTTAACTTTGTAAAAATTGATTTACGAAATTTTAAAAGGTATGTCATTTTTGAAAAAGTAACACAAGAATATCTTTTTTAAAAAATATTTTACTTACTTTTTATGTAATCAAATAATAGAAAATGAGTATATTTTTGATAAAAACATTTCGGAACATGAGTATAATTTTTCTATTGACAAACGTCCTCGGTAGATGGTACCGACAGGCTACAATGAGAAACTGAATAATTGAGAAGAAAAAAAAAGAAACTATCAAAAAAAAAAAAAAAACTACTTATAAAAGAAAGAGTATATTAAAAGGGGCTGGCTTTCTCCTGTTTATGATCGGATTAGAAGGTGTTATTAGATTTGTGGGTGCTCACTACGTGTCCTGTTTTGATAATTCAAACCGTTCAATATGTAGAACTCGGCGAGTATTATATACTTTTAAAATATCACATTGATCGGATATCGATAAATACGTGATCAAATCAATTTTGTATATAAAAAAAAGGATGGTAAAAAATAAATGGTTGACAAAAATCTGATCCGATGAGATAACTATCAATATCTGATCAATGTGATTTTTTTACAAGTATATAGTACTTGATGCGTTCTACACATTGAACGGTTCGGATTATCGAAACAAGACCAGTGATGAGCCCCTACAAACCCAACAACACTCTCTAGTCTAATCACTGACGGTAAGAAAGGTAGAACCATATTAAAAGTAGCCAAAGTTGTGTGTATTTTTACTGGGAGATTTATTAGAAAATCATTTTTAAGTGTTTGTATCCCAATTAGTTCATAAAATATTTTTGTATTTGAATAAGTCCTATTATTTGAATATTTGATCTGTCAAATTCTAATTCTCATATTTAAAGTATTTTATGGACATTTCTATCCTTACAAATATTTTTTTGAACGGTTAGCAATTTGGTGATGTGAACATTCATATTTTACAATGTGAATATTTACATTGACGTGTGAATGTTCACATTAACAGTGTGAACATTCACATTGACATGTTAACATTCACATCACGAAACATTCATACTGTAAAAGTGAATATTATTAGGGGCATTTTAGTAACTATGTCACCCATAGGACTTATTGAAATATAAGAAAATAATATGAACTAATAAAACATAAGTAGGTAAAAAAGAATTTATGAAAAGTGTTCCATTTTAATTTTATTTTATTCCTTTATTTTTGTGACCAACCTGTAACAGAACATAAATATTTGTCAGATTCCAAATTTCTTGTCAACGAAGCTTCTTTCAGCGTCTGTTGGTTTGGGAATCTAATCTAATCCTGATTAATCTTAAATCATAAGTTTGGATATAAAAAATAAATTAATTTATTGGCAAATCTTAGGGATCTTTGATTGTATGTCTATTGTATGAGAGACTATTGAGACTTGTGATTAAAAAAAAAAATTGAAAAATAGATAACTTTCTTTTTTTGATTTTGAAAAATAGAGAAATTAAGGAGTTAAAAGTTCAAAATACTCTCCAATTATAAAATAAAAATAAAATAAATGTATATTATATGTTTTACAATGTTGTAGAATAAGTTTTTTTTTTTTTATAATATTTTTTGATTTGTGCCTCTGCTCGAGAAAAAAACAAACAAACAAACAAACAAACAATATTATAATTAACAATTGATTTATGTGGAGTAGTTAATGGAAGGGTTGTTTCTATTATTATATTGGCGGAATATGATTATAGTTATTGTGGTGAGTAAAAATCAAATCACTTGGGTTGTGGCGGTGACGCAGAAGAGATAGCTCAGTTTCCAACTTGAAAAAACACTTGGATAAAGGTAGAGGGGGGTGGCTAGAGTAGCTTCGGACCCTCCGATACCTAAGTTAGTGACAAAAATAGGCAAAGGTGGAGGATTATCTTAGTGAGGTTCAGGTAGCAGTGTTTGCATACCTCTATTGTATTGTTTGCTTCCCTTTTTATAACTTGTTCCTACTAACCATTGTTGGCTGTTAGGCTTTCCATCACTCCTCACATCAGCCCCTTTTTCCTAAAGGATTGTGCTCCATCAAGTGCTGATTTCTAAGAGTTTATTGAGCCTAAAATAAATGAATGTGGGTTGACTGGGTTTGCGCCCTTCTTGAGTGTGCCTTCTTCTACCTCTCTTCTATCCTAAAAACTTCCCTGGCCTA